GACTTTGTTGTGGCTGTTTTTTCTTTGCTGAGTGCCACATGAGTTTAAGTGCTCGTGGCCTGCAAAGAAGAGAAGACCGCAATTTTGCTGCCGCCACCACTCCTTAGATTGGGCTTGAAAAGAAAACTCACTTGGAAACTTGTATTAGATTATTTAAAACATTTTAATAATTTGAATAGCAATTTCCTGAGAATTAAATTTCTGAGAAAATGTCTCGTTAACGACATTATACCAGATTTTTTACGGTTTCGCGTGCCTGATAACGGTGTTTTTTCGGATCAAGCGGTGCACAGCTTCCAACTGAGACTCTTGAGATCTGAGATAAGCCAGGCAAATGCGGTAGGGCCAAGGCATCGGGATCCTAGTAAAAGCAAGAGAGGTTGTGAGAAGGGGTATAGATGAGAAGTGGTGGCCTTCGGTAGTATTCTGTCTGAACCGGCAAGCAAGTTGTAGTGTCATTAACCTAATAAACAGACACAAGAGAAACCTTGAAACACTTTCGGAAAGACAGGATAGACCATTAAAAAAGTTGGATGGAAGTTCAGTTAGAATTTTAGATGAAGTGATTTTGCCACATTGGGTGCGGGAAGTCTTAAGTTTTGGACCAAAACATCCGGTATGAGACATATTCAATAAAATTCACTTCCTTGCTGACATGAATAGTTTTTTGTCTGAACTGAAGTTAAATAGAATACCCGGAGAAAATTCATGTGAGATTGAAGCAGCTGCAAAGAGATATGCTAAGAATGTGAAACAGACCCCCTCTGACAAAGGTGTTGAAAAAGCCAGAAAGTATTTGAAGGGCAACGGTCTTCTGGCAATGCCGTTTGATAAGGTGGTGGGTTTTTGTGTAATGAAAAAGGAGACACATGAGAAAAAACTGAAAGACTTATTACAGGCAGAACAATTTAGTGAGAGGTAGAATCTGACAGACAGCGTGGTTATGAAAATTGAAAGGACATAAACAAAGAATTACTCGCCATGAAAAAGAAGGACGAGATTAGCGAAGCGCTGTATACTAGGTTGAGATCAACGGTAGCGCAACCGGCTAGGCTGTATGGAATAGCAAAATACACAAACAAGGCAAACCACTTCGTCCCGTCCTTTCTTTACCTGGTAGCTCATATGACAACCTAAATAAAACGTTGGCAAAGTACTTTGATGAAATTGATGGGGCAAACTTAGAAACGAACACTCAAATGGCCAGGAGATCTTGGAAAAAACTGAGTTGGGCTCTGACGAGAGTATAATCTTCCTTGATGTAAAGAGTTTGTACACTAATGTACCGCTCAAGGAAGCGGTTGAAATAGCCCTGAGGAGATTATATGAGCAAGTCAACCCTCCGGAAACATCTCGCAAGACTATGAAAAACTACCGAATTTGGCAGTGAGTAAGGTACAATTTAAATGCAATGGTTTGTGGTATGTACAAAAAAACGGTTTAGCAATGGGTGCCTCCCTTATAGTAATATTGGCCAATTTGTTGCTCAAAGAATAGGAACCTGCCTTTAAGAAAGCATTACCAAAAGTGACTGTGCTAAGTGAGGGTAACAAGGAAGTGTGCCCTAGATGTCAGAAAACGGTGATATATCTGACAAAAGGGGTAGAATGCGAAGCTTGTTTGAATTGTTACCACTTAGGGTGTGCTAACATATCGGAATCCGAATATGCAGACATCGCTGAAACAGTATGGTATTGCGTCACTTGTAAAAAACAACAGCAAGCAGATAGGACTGTGAATGGTGTTAAAGTTTTTCTTAGATATGTGGACGACATAGTTAGAACGGTCAAGGGCGATCCTGGGGTAGTTCTCGAGGCTGCCAATAAGTTACATCCAAACTTGCAGTTCACCATAGAAGAACTTGATAGTAACGGTAATTTGGTGTTTTTGGACTAAAATGTCAACGTTGATTCAGCAAAAAGGTCACATGTGATTGGTACCAGAAACTCATTGATACAAGCACCATTCTAAATTTCAGTGGCTGCGCACTTTTGCAGTAAAAAAGGAAAGGTTATCGAAGGGACGGTTCATAGGGTTTTCAGAAGTTCCTCAACATGGGAAGATTTTGACCAGGCATTGGAAAAAAATCGGAAGCAATGGATTGAAAATCATTATCCGAAGAATTGGTCTGACAGGGTAGTGTTTGAAACTCTTAACAAGATCAATGAGGGAAAGAAAAATTTAGAGGTGAAGGCATCAGAACCGAGAAATGATAAATGGTTGAAAGACTCACCACCCCTTCTTACAATGCAATATCGAGGAAATCCATCTCAACTGTTAGCTGCAAAGGTTCGGCTAATATACGGGGCACAAATAATTTTTACAACAAGAATATTGAAAACATGCTTGCCATCCCTCAAAACTTCCTTTGCTCGTGAACTGAGATCCAAAGTGGTGTACAAGCTTACATGTAGTGGATGTAACTCCACCTATGTCGGCCAGACAAACCGACATTTAGCCACGAGGGTCGATGAACACCGCAAAGGGGACTCCCCAGTAGGGCAACACTTGTTTGAATGTAATAAGGAGGTAGACGGTACTGAAGTCAGAGATTATAGACCAAACAGCCAACACTCATAAGCTACTGACACTAGAGGCTTTGCATATTTGGAGGGAGAGGCCGAAGATCAACACACGCGATGAATTCAGGAGCCGGGAAATATCAATGAAATTATAGTCTGTATAACATGGCTAAAAGTTTAAAAACTGTTGAGCCAGAATCAAAAATATTCCTAAATCGAAATTTTATAACCATGAAAGAACAAAAAACAAAAAAATCTCAGAAATTTACAGGAAAATGTTATGATTACGTAATTATATTATGTAATTACAGTTGTTTAAATATGATGGGTTAAAACGTTTTAGAGCTTTTTTAGACATGTTTCTCATTTTTCAGATCTTTGATCGTTTTGTAAATATTGTAAAAAATTTTAATCCTGATGATGCACAAAATGTTGAATTAATATTTTAAATTTCTTATAATATTTAGGATAGCGAAACATGCGTTTGCTTAAAAGGCTAAAAAACTATACTCATTAAATTCCTATGGTTTGCAGTACCGATTTGACGATCATGCAATTGTTGCTTCTGCTAATGTAGATTGTAGCCTAACTTTAAACATATAGTTCCTCACTCTTAATCATCTGAAAGAGGCTTGGACATGGCAATAAATGTCGCACTCATTCATATATATAGAGAGATAGTTACCCTTGCGATAAGCAAGGGTATTTGAAATCGGGTACAAGACTTTTTCCGTAAACAACTTGTCCACACAACTCATCGACTCCTGTTGTTACGTTGGTTCATAACGAATTCACTTTTCTTACTGTCTCCTGCACACTTAGCCTAGGTTTGAATCTGACAAGTACCTTTTTTTAAACGGTAAAAATTCAGGTACAAAAAAATTCGTCCTATTATTTGTCTGCTCATGTTTTGTCGGCTTAGTTGCCAGATCTAAGAATCGTTGATTTGATGCAAAAATTTTTCATTGTAGTTGCTTTAGTTTTGTTAGCATTTTAAAAATCCGGCCCAATCGAAATTTGCTTTTTACTTTGGTTTTAATTTTACCAGCTCAAATGTTTTGTCTTTTTTCGACTTCATCGGTTTCGATTTAATTTATATCTACTTAGTGGCCCCCCATTTGCATCGTTTGATGAGCGAGAAAAGTTTTTCGGAGCGTGTGTAAACTGAGGGGAAAGGGTACTCATAGTTTTTTCTGGTTAAGATTTTCTCAATTTTTTTCAGCATGAAGGGCTTCTGTTGAGGTTTTTCCGTTTTTTTATCGCTTGTTTTTTCTAATGCAATTTTTGCATTCTATTGTCATGGCATGTGTTTTTTTTTTCAAAATTATCTTCATTCATTCTTATAGGCAGGCATTTCGGGTTCGGGTATCGGGTCGGGTTTTGAGACAAATTTCGGGTTTCGGGTCGGGTTTGAAATGAATGTCGGGTTCGGGTTTGAAGAAACCGTCGGGTTCGGGTTCGGGTTTTAGCTTATCGGGTTTCGGGTTTGAAAAATGTCGGGTCCCGAAATGCCTGCTTATAGGTTGGTTGTATGTATAGTTATAAAACATCGATATTGCTTTTTTGCTAATGATTTTTCGGCTATCGAATCAGCTCTAGGTTTAGTTTCCGAATTGTTTATACCACCTTGATTTCAGTAACTATATAGTTTTCGTGGATGCTATTTGGGTAGCACATGTAAAGTTTCCAATAAGATTGTGCCGAACAATTTTGGTTGAATTTAAGCTAATTGGCTGTCGGCTGTATTCTGTCAGCTTATTTACCTGATATTTTTTCCTAAGTTTTGACCTTATTTATGAGATCGTTTAGACTTTTTGTCCTAATTTAGATGTTTGAATGCTCAAATTCAGTTTTCAATAAATTCGAACTTGAAAAAAGTGATTTTCATTTTTTTTTCGAGTTGTAACAAATTTCGAAGTCCTCTTTCATAGTTCTTGAAAGTCTGTTTGCTGTTTAGTCCTATACTTGTTGCGTCGCAAGTGGTGCGAAGCTCGGCTTCGTCTCTATTTATTTTTTGACTGGTTCATATACTCTACATTAACTTCTGGCTGTTTTATATACTCTACACATTTTCGTTTTTTTAATACTTCTAATGACATTTAAAAATTTCGAAACATTTTTCTGTATCGAGAAAAACCGGCTTGAAGTTTTTGATTTTGATCTAATTGCGAGCTAATACGCATTAAAAAAATGCAAAAAAAAACAGGAAAAATATTGTTTTTTAATTTTTTTTTAACGATTTTTTAGTTTTTTTAAGTCTTTTTCTACAAAAGTTGTTTTCCAATTGGCCTATTTGACTATGACTGTCGAATATGCCTAATTCCTATTGTTTCTTTCAGACCTGTTTTTTCCATTACATAAAAAACGACACTAATTTGAAAAAAATGTATTTTTATAAGACTATGATCGTAACATAGTAACCGGCTTTTTTCTTGTTTTTTTTTGGACTACTAAAAAATATCGTAATAATTTTAGACTTTAATGGCCGAAAAGTTGGACGACTCCGCTCTGTTTGAAGCAGACAATGAAATTGAGCGGGAATTGGCGCAGATGACTACAGAAGAAATTTTGGGCCGGACTCGACTCATCGACACAGAAATCAAAATAATGAAAAGTGAAGTCATGCGACTGAATCATGAAATATCCGCCCAAAAAGACAAAATTGCTGAGAATAACGATAAAGTTAAAATCAATAAAACTCTTCCCTATTTGGTCGCTACAGTCATAGAAATTCTTGACGTCGATCCTGCTGAAGATGGCGACACAGAAGGAGGAAATGTCGATCTAGACGGCCAGAAAGCGGGGAAGTGTGCAGTTATCAAAACCAGTACCAGACAAACCTACTTTCTACCTGTAATAGGTCTCGTTGAGCCTGAAGACCTGAAAGTAATAATAGTTTCTTGGAAAAATTTCATATAATTTTTTGATGAAACCTTTATCATTTGCGATATTATTTAGCCCGGTGAGCTGGTGGGTGTAAACAAGGACTCTTACCTGATCTTGGAGAAGTTGCCCCCAGAATATGATTCAAGAGTGAAAGCTATGGAGATTGACGAGAGGCCCACTGAACAGTACAATGATATCGGGGGTCTGGACAAACAGATTGAGGAACTGGTGGAGGCCGTTGTGTTACCCATAACGCATAAAGATCGATTTGAGAAGATTGGAATCAAACCACCCAAAGGTAACTTTATCTATTTATTTTATTCCAAGATAAAATTCAGTTGTAACATTTTTTCATTTAGGCGTTTTGATGTACGGTCCTCCGGGAACAGGAAAAACTCTTCTGGCCAGAGCATGTGCAGCCCAAACTAACTCAACATTCCTGAAACTTGCAGGACCACAACTCGTACAAATGTTTATCGGAGACGGAGCAAAAATGGTACGGGATGCGTTTGCTCTTGCCAAAGAAAAAGCTCCTGCTATTATCTTCATCGATGAGTTGGACGCTATTGGAACGAAACGGTTTGACAGCGAAAAAGCCGGTGACCGAGAGGTACGTTCCGATGAGTATGAATTGCTTTTTTATGAAATTAAACTAATTGATCCTATAAACCTAGCGTGTTGTTGTTTGCAACTTATTTTAATTTGTAAGTGTTGTAGGTTCAAAGAACAATGTTGGAACTTTTGAACCAATTAGACGGATTCAGCTCTACAGAAGATATCAAAGTAATAGCGGCCACAAATCGCGTGGACATTCTCGATCCTGCTCTCCTCAGATCAGGTCGACTCGATCGAAAAATCGAGTTTCCGCACCCGAATGAAGAGTCCAGAGCTCGTATTATGCAGATTCATAGTCGCAAAATGAACCTCGGCGATGATGTGAATTTCACGGAGCTGGCTCGATGTACCGATGACTTTAATGGAGCTCAATGCAAAGCTGTGTGTATCGAAGCAGGAATGATAGCGTTAAGAAGAGGGGCGAGTAGTTTGTGCCATGAAGATTACATGGATGGCATACTGGAAGTGCAATCCAAAAAGAAAACGAACCTGAACTATTATGCCTAAGTTGTAAATGAACCAACCTGTGATGAACTGTTGTTATGATGATATGAAAAATAAAGAAGTTGAAGTGGTTTTAATTAGCATATTTGTCGAATAAATTGTTATTGCTGTCCGCTAATCCATCCTAGATGTTCCGTTTGTTTTGATAACCCTTGCGATAAGCAAGGGTATTGCAAATGGGTACCACACGTTTTTTTTTTACCGTAATTAACTTTGATCACAGGACTCACCTCCTGGATCCTGTACTCACGAATTTACTTCCTTTGTTATAAATTATGAATTCAACCAACCAACTGGCACAGAGGTAACACACCTGCTTGAAACTGCAAAGGCTTCTTGTTCGAATCCGGTTGGAACCTGTTTTTTGCAAACTTAGTTCTCTTTTGTCCTTTTTCGGATTATTGTTCGTCTGTTTATTTTTGTCGGCCTAATTCGCATAACTCAATTTTTTTGAAGGTTCAGCTGTCTTCAAGTTGCTTTAACACCCATGGTTGACGACAAAGCCTGGGTGTTTGAGTCCAATCGGCTATTTAAGATTTTTGTCAGTCTCTTTATTTTTGCCGGCTTCGTATCTGCAGAATGACTCTGTCAAAATCTTGGCTTATCTCTAGCTTTCCGAAAGCTCCATGAAAAATTTCTAATGATGCATGTAACTTTGTTCGGTAGATTTTTTGCACTTTTTCCAAAACTTTCAATGACAAAACATTTTTTTTTTCAATTTTGAAGGTTTTTTTTTTTCTTCAATTTTTGATTTTTTTCATTTGATTTAAATCGCAATCCTTACTCGTGCAATAAGGTTTTTTCTTCAATTTTTGATTTTTTTTTTCATTTGATTTAAATCGCAATCATTACTCGTGCAATCATTACTCGTGTACTAGACTTCTTTCCCCGTAAATAAGTTTGTTCACAGAATGGTCAAAATTAGAAATGGTAAATTTACGTTCAGTTCATAATGAAATGAATTTTCTATTATGCCTCTCAGGCATACTTGGTCTGGAAGTAACGAATGCGCCTGGGATGGCAGATCTCCTGGGTTCAAATCTGACAGTACCTGTTTTTTTTCAAAGGGGAAATAGTCAGTTTCAAAAAAATAGTCGGCTGATTATTATATGCATTTTTTGTCGGCTTAATTGCCATATTGTAGAATTGTTTTAAAGTCTTTTTAGATTATAGTTGGTTATAGTGTTCTGATTTACCTCTGCTGTTTGTAATTTTACTAACTTTGACTTCATATAGTTTCTTTTGTTGTTTTTTTTTACTTCAAAAATTTATTCTGCCCAAACGATTTTCGCCTATTTTTTATTTATTAGCTTAGTGACCTAATTTCAAGTCATTTCAACAAACATATTTTTATGCTCACCTCTGGATCGCACACAATGCTAAAAATTGTAATAAAATTATAGTTTCATTTTTTTCTGGCTTGATAGTTATCGACTTGTGTGATATCGGTTTCTTAGTCTCTTTTTGCGCCTTTCGACTAGCTAAAAAAGGTTTGTATATGCGTGTACGTGTCGTGAGGGTGATAAGGACCTAATAACTTTTAATACTCTTAAGTTTTTTGAATTTTTTTCGTCTTTTTTATTTTCGTTTTTTTTTGGGCTTAATAGGTTTCGACCTTAATTATATCCACTTAATGGCCTCATATTGTTTCATTTCAGGAACAAATAAAGTTCTCTGAGTGTTTGTGATTTTGAGGGCGAGGGGGACCCATTAACTTTTCATAGGTCTGAAGTCTTGCTGATTTTTTTTCGGCTTGAACGAATTCTGACAAGGTGTTTTCGGCTTTGAGTACCGCGGGATACATTACCTTCCGATGCTTATCTCGCATTCTATTGTCTTGGCATGTTTTTGTATCAACACTAGCCTTATTCATTTGGATAGATCTAGTTTTGTTGACATTTTCGATTTTTTCAATTTTCTTATTTAACGCAAGTGGTGCGAAGCTCTGCTTGCCTTGTGTTCATTTTTTTATCCTAAGTGGTGGAAAGCTCAGCTTCGCCTCGGTTAATTTTAATATGATGGATTTCAGAGAATCTATGCGCCAAGATTCTTGATGAATTTCTGTTATTAAAATGTCTGCTTCATTGTTGACCAGATCTGCCCGCTTTTCCAAAAATCTCATCAATGGGTCGTATGTGTCATTTGGAAAGTAAGTATTTGACTCGAAAGCCAATTTTTTTATACTTCCAGCTATTTTCAAAGTGTCCGGTTTCGAAAGTCGACTTTCAGTTGCTCGTGTAATTGAATGAAGTAAATTAGCTGATACATTGAAATAAACGTTAATAAACTTTTATGAATTCTTTCCAACTCTAGGTGGTCGCCTCCTCTTCTAACTCAGAATGAGAGCAACCCCACTCAAACCTCTGTTGCGAGACGCAATGTGAACTCTTCTTTGCCAGATGTGGCTCCTCCTTTCAACAAGTGGCCGGCGGACAACAAGGGAGAATACGTGGTTGCCAGATTGGACGATATTGTCAACTGGGGCAGAAGCGTATGTTTTTACTGTTAACTTGAATCTCTTTAACTATCCCCCCTTTTGCAAAAGGGAGGAGATTCGTTACTGTGCTAAATTTGCATATGCTTAACCGTTGGATGAACCAATTCTAGGTACCAAAGGGAGGAAAACGTTTAAGAAATCCGTTAGCTTATATCCAGGAGTATCTGAAGTTCAGTGCCCAATCGAGTAGTTTCTTTTTTTTAAAAAATACTCGGAACTACAGTTGTATCATTGGAAACTACAGTTGGATTGTGTTGGAACCGTTCATGATATGTTTGATTATTCGAATAATTTTTCTGAAAATCAGATGGTCTAAAATTGTCCGCTTTTCTATTCAGAACTCACTTTGGCCGATGACATTTGGACTGGCTTGTTGTGCCGTGGAGATGATGCACATGGCTGCACCCAGGTACGATATGGACAGATTCGGCATTGTGTTCCGCGCCAGTCCCAGACAAGCCGACGTCATGATCGTGGCAGGAACTCTGTGCAACAAGGTAAATTCTATTAAGCTATTTAATAAAGTGAATGACGAGACAGGCATAGAAAAATTTGAATTAAAATATGAAATTTTGGAGATGAATAAAATAAATAGCCCCAATGATTGAATGATCGCGTATCATAATGTGCTGCACGTAATTTCTGCAATCAGACTAGGTAAACTACGATCATCGGCATAAAGAACAGTTATAGGAGGCCGCAGGTAATTTGTCTTTATTATGCTTCTACGAAAGAGCCCATAAGTTGTAATCTACGGCCAACAGTTTCAGTGCGCGAAACTGGCAGTTTGAAATAGTAAAGAGTAAACAATCAGAGCCCCAGCAATAACATTACAAGCAAGTAACTGTTTTCCGTTAGAATTTTGTCCACAAGTTTCAACGTCCGTGAGAATAAAACTTATTCAGAGAACAAAGTTCAGTTAGAATTAAAATTTGTTCCACTTCAAACTTTTTCATAGAATTTTAATTCACATAATGAGGCCAAACTAATTTTTGAGTTGTAAGTGGAGTCAGCAAAAAACCGCTCTTTTTGATCTTTCTCTGATCTTGTGTTTCCTTCGATCGTGCCAAAAAAATTTAACGACTTGTTAAGAGTAATGAACGTAATGAGTACTCTTTTATAGGTATTGGCTTTTTTATTTCAGAAAAAAGTCTTCAGATTTGTTCACGCTCATTTTTTTCGCGGTTAGACTTTTGGTTTCTTTTTAAGTTCACTTCATTTCCTTTATTAATGGGAAAGCAAACTCCTATCGAACAGCAACAGTGTAAAGGTCACGACTTGGTTTTTAATTAATAGATTTCCCAGCGAATAAAAATTTAACCTGTTGATCCAGTTTTCTCAAATTGGGTTAGTTTTGTTAAAAAAGCTTTAATTATAAATCATTCGTGAAATTCAGAAAATTTTCGGGCATATATTTTTTTTAAAGTTGAAGTTTAAAATACACGTCAGTGTTTTCTTTCTGTTTCCCTGCGTTCATTAATTTTTTCCAAATGTCAGTTGGCTCTGTTCTCTGAACTCCAGTGAATTGTACATACCAAATTGTGCGACTATCCAATTCACAGTTTGGCCTAATAATGCAAATTTTTCGGTAGAATAAAAATCTTTTTATTGACCGGGTTTCAACAATTTATTTTTTTTGTTGATCTTTGCATTTAGTTAAGATATTATAACCGGGAACCAGACTTCTCCCCGACAGAAATGTTATTCATGATTTTTTTTTGCTGGAATATTCATCTTACTTTAATAGTTACACAAGCCAGTTTAGTGCAATAACACGAGTATTCTTTTTCCAACCTTCTCCTTATTTTTCGGTGGGGGCCACGTTTACGGCTTTTTGATAGCATTTGGTTATTAATTAGGTTAGTTAGTTTTTACATTCGGTTATTTATATGTTCTTGCAGTTGATGACTTTTGAATTCATCAAATGAACCGAATAAAACTATTTGTTTCGAACAACATTACAATAATAAAAACTTTATTTCACAAATTTTCCAACTCATTTTATCTCGCAATTAATTTAAAATGTATGCTTTATAATACATTATTTAGCTTTATGATTTACAATTTAGTACATGTAAAATCAGTGCTGGGATGCCTTCAGTATTTTATATTTCAAGTTATTAAATGCAAAAATTTTGTCTATTTATGTTTGGTTCGACTTTTGTTGCATAGCATTGGCAATTTATTAGCATGTGTAGATGCTTTATTATAGTTTTCCAGGACGCGCGACTTCAAATTTCCTGGGTGTAGTTTCGAATCCACTGCAGTAAATTTTTGAATTTTCAAGGCATATTTTTACATTATTTTTCAGTTTTCACAGATGGCTTGTGTCGTTTTTCTCGCTTGTGTTTTCGAAGCGCAGCTTAGCCTCGTGTATATTAATTTTGCTCGTTTAACGTCAATATAACGTCGTTGCTTGGGACAATAAAGGTCATAGGTATGATCTCGACCAGGATCATTTGCTTTTTACTTTTGCGAGAGCAAGTTTCTTGTAATCAGGAACTAGACTTTTTTCCGTTAACAACTTTTCTTACTGATCCTTCTTTGTTCACTTCCTAGTTTTTTTTTGTCTGAACAGCTTCCAGGCGCCTTAGCCTAGAGGTAACGCGGTTGCTTTTGTAACCTAGGGTTTGGGGTTCGAGTCCTGGTCGGATCTTGTTTTTTTTTTTTTCAGAATGAAATTGAAAAAAAAATGTCCCAGAAAAATTTAATTGTCTGCTCAAGTTTTGTCGGTTAACTTGCCACATCACTGATTTTCATTGTGCTGTAGGCAAATTTCATTGTAAATGCGAGTACAAGTGTTGTTCATTGTAGTTTCAGTTGGTGGGATTGTTAAACTTATAGTTTGTTAATAAAAGTAATATTTTTACTCAGCTTGTGTTTGCTTAAAAATGTCTGCTCTGCCCTCTTTTCGTAAATTTTGTTCCGTGGCTAATTTAATATTCAAATGCCTGGCAGTTTTGCCTAGAATGAGTTTCTGTCGAGAAATACGAAAGTATAAGTTTTGGTAGACCTAGTGTTTTTTAACTTATTCATTTTTTTTCCATTTCTTTTGTTTTGTTCTGTTGTATCGCAAGTGGTGCGAAACTCCGCTTCGCCTCTGTCTACTAAGTAAAACTTTTCTGGAATAATTTAATTGTCGAACTATTGGTTAACTGTTGATTTTGTCGGCTTTCTTTCCAGAACAAGCATTTTTTCTTCGAAGCATTTTTAAAGTCTTGAAAGTCATTCTGTTTCTGAATTAAAAATTTACTACCTCCGATTTTGCATAATTGTGTTTTCATCTGGCTTGAACATTTTAGATTAACATGCTTCGACTCGTGTTATATTATATTAGCTTATTCAGTCAAGATATGTTGTGCTATTTGAATATCAGACGTAAATTTTTTTGAATCCTATGCTTCTTTAAACTGGCAGTTGTAATTTTCGACCTTTTTCCTGGATTGGAGCTTCACTTGCGACAAACCTATTTACAATAGCGTCAGCTTAGTGTATTATTAAGAACCTTCTTTTTTTCTAACAAAGTCGCAAATATTGTTGCCATTTTGGGGGCACCTTAACAGCTCTTTGATAGCATGTGCTTTGACATTCGAATTGTAATAATTTAACACAGATGATGCGTTTTAATTTCATCTAATTAACCGAAAAAAGCTAATTTTTTTTCAGTCAAGATATCAATAATAAAAAGTCGATTTCAGAAATTTTCAAAGTCAATATATCTCGCAATTTTTGCAATGCATAGTTTATACATAATTTGGCTTTATTATTTCCGATTTGTGAGATGCAAAGTTAGCGTTAGGATTTTCTCAGTTTGTCATATTATTAGTTTGCTAAATTATTACGTGCAAACATTTGTCTATTTGTATTTGGTTCCCCTTTTGCATTGGCAATTTATTAGCATATGTAGCTGTTTTATTCGTGACTAGTGTTTGTTAAGCGTACGTGGCTGAGTGGTTAATGCGTAAGACTCAAGTCTCTATATTGCACTAGGTCGCAGATCGAATCCTAGACTAGCCGAATATTTACCAATTCGAGGCTAATTTCTATTTTTCTTATTGCACTTTCTTGAGCTGCTTTTTTTCGTGTTTGCAAAGCGAAGCTTCGCTTCTGTGTGAACTTTTTGTCGTCATGTTTTTCAAATGATTGTCCCGACTTTTTTAGACAAGCTGGCAATACTATCTTTGTGTGTATAGCAAGTGGTGCGAAGCTTGCTTCGCCTATATGACAAAATTGTACCAATCATCTAAATTTTTGAAGTCAATTTTTCGATAATATTGAACGCAGTGTGTCGATAATTTATGTCGCTCCGTATCCGTTACACAAGTTGCGCGCGTTTTCACGCATGCATTTTTTAAGTCATTTTTTTTTTCAGTTTAAGTTGAATATTTGCCGCATAATTTCATAGAAAGTTTAATTTTTTTCGAGATTTTCAAGAACTTAAGTTAAATTGGTCTAATTACACTAGAGATAAGCAAGCTTTACTATAAAATCGGAACATAGACCTTTGTCAGGTTTTCAATTTCTCTAACAGAATCAGTGAAGCATTTGTTAACTTGGTTTTTAATTAAATTCAATGGCTAATTTATTCATTAGAGATAACGCGCATGCTTGTGATGGCAAGCTAGTCTCACCAGGAACTGTTTTTACAAGCTGCAGTATTGCTGCTTTCAAAAAAATACAAATCGTATCTGCTTTTTTAATTTTTGCCTTAGTTTTTCCAGCCTGGGCTGTTTTCCTTATTTCAGAATTCAATTTTTTGTATTTCTATTGTTGCTGGTAATTGAGTTTTGTGCGGAATTTTTCTATTGATTTTTGACCAAATTTTTAAAACGTTTTTGGGTACCTATCTTGAAACAATGCATTGAGATATTGATGCACTCAGGTATATATGCACTTTTTGAGTTCAATTGAAATTCATCTGCTGAAAGTGACGTAAATAACACTCTCCAAATACCAACGTGGAAATGGCGCAAAAAAAACGTGAACGGTTTCTCGTTTCGAAAGTGGAATTTATTTTTTAGATTTCCGGCGGAATAAAAATTTTACCTGTTGATCCAGTTTTCTCAAGTTGGGTTAATGTTATCAAAAAAGTGCCAATCATAAATCGTTCTAGAAATTTTTTAAAACAAAGTCAATGTTTTTTTTATGTTTACTTGCGTTCATTACTCTTTTGTAATCTTCGATTGGCCATGTTTTTAATTATCAACTTAGCCAAAAAACGATTGTTTCAAAATTATCTATTTGTGATTGAATGTGTCAATCTATTATATATTTAAATGCGGGCTTCACTATCTCGCCATGTTTAAGCTTTTTCAACGTATTAATTTTGCATGTTTAAGCTATATCGTATATTGCAATGGTTAATTTTTTTTTAGATTTTCAAATTTGATTTTAGTGGTTATTTTACCCAGTTTAAATTAAGCAGCCCAATATTGAATTACGTGTTGCGAATTTGGCCTCCAAATTTGACTGCCCGAATCGTTTTAGTTAACGAGATAAGACGATTTTTGCGATTTTTTCAAAAATTTTCTGAAATTTCAAATAACAAAATAAACAAAACTTGAAATTCTCAACCCTGTAGTTTGGTGCTGTCAGAGTACTCCAAGGAGTTTTGAATCGTGCCTCCAAATATGACTGTTCAAATCCTTGTAGTTTTCGAGATATGACGTTTTCAGAAAACTTATATTAATTTTTTTTCGCAAAATGTGAAATTCCCAACCATGTAGTGGGGGTCCTGTCAAAGTAATCTCAAAGATTGCGAATCTTGCCTCCAAATAAGACTGCTCAATTCTTTGTAGTTATCGAGATATGACGTTTTTTGTGATTTTTTCAAAAATTTTCAGAAAACTTAAATTATTATAATTTAAAAATCTGAAATTCCCAACCCTGTAGTTAGGTCCTATCAGAGTACTCTCAAGGATTGCGAATCTTGCCTCCAAATATGACTACTCAATTCTTTGTAGTTTTCGAGATGTGACGTTTTTTGTGATTTTTTCAAAATTTTCGGAAAGTTTTAATTAATCATTTTTCAAAATTTGAAAATCCCAACGCTATAGTTCGGTGTTGTCAAGGTACTCTAAAGAGTTGCAAATCTTGCCACATGCGACTGCTCAAATGCTTTAGTTTCCGAGATGTGACGTTTTTTGATTTTTTCAAAATATCTCAAAGAATTTATCTACAAAGAAATTCCAAAATTTTGAAACTACTAACTTGATGAAGATACAACCTTATTGTCAGCGTACATCCAGACTTCTCAAAGCTTGCCTCCTAATATGAATGCTCAAATCCTTTTAGTTTCCGAGATAAGACTTTTTTTCCATTTTTTTTCGGGAAACTTAGGTTTAAAAAAAATCATGGATTCCTAATCCTATAGTAGGGTGCTCTCAAGGACTCTCAGTGATTACAAATCTGGCCTCCAATTTTCTGTAATTTTCTGCACCAACCCTGTAATTGGGTGCAGTCAGATAACACTAAAAGTTTGCAGATGTTGTTTCCAATATAAGCGGTTTTTCATGAGTTGTCGAAAAATTTCGAAGCACCGAAGGTGCGTTAAACGCTAGTTTTATTTATATTATTATGTGTAAAATGTAAAGAAACTGCCAAAATATATACAGCACAAGAGAATGTATGTCGTAATTGTGTAGTTATGTTTGGTTTAGATGGCACCTGCTCTGCGAAGAGTTTATGACCAGATGCCAGACCCTAAATGGGTAGTGTCAATGGGCAGCTGTGCCAATGGCGGAGGCTACTACCACTACTCCTACTCAGTTGTCAGAGGCTGTGACAGAATTGTACCTGTGGATATTTATGTGCCAGGATGTCCACCGACTGCAGAGGCACTGCTCTATGGATTTCTGCAATTGCAGAAGAAGATCAAAACCAGCAGAGATATTTCACTGTGGTACAGAAAATAAACTGCTAAACTGACAATGTATTGATGATTTTAGTAGACTAATATAACTTACAGTTACTGATAACTATTTTTCTAAGAACCGCCCAGCTGGAAGAAAAGTGTTGATAGTTCAAACATTAAATTGTATGTAAACGATCAGCGATATAGTGAAGCAGAGTTTCACGATTGTTAGATCATAAAAGGCATTCAAAAAATCAAATTATTTTTACTTCTCATTAAATTTGCTTAACTTATTTTATTTTTAGTCATTTAGAACAAAGCTTTCTCACGTTATTTGATAGCTAATTTCAATGTTTCACAAGCATCCATTTTTAACGCATCCAAAAATCTATTTCCGTGGATTAGTTTATTTGTTGTAGATATTTATTTGTTTATACTTGATTTTTTTTTTGCGTTCACAATTGAAGCACAGCACCGCTTCGCCTGTGTTTTCGTTAGGATTTATTTGCCGACTGGTTAGTAAGAGATTTTTCAATCTCTGCTTTTGTTAGAATTTTTCATTCTTTTTGTTTCAGCTTCAATCACTAGATTATTATGCAGTTTTTAGCGTTGAATATTTTGATAGCTGTTTTTTATGCATTTTTTTGCCAGAACTGTTTCAAATGAATATTGAACTTTCCATTTTAGCGCAGTTTTTCTGAATTATGATTTTTTCCTAGTTTCCTTTTTAAGGAATTTTGTGCAGTTGAACAGTTCATAGAATAGTATTCAAGATAGCTATTTAAGCTTAGTTCCTTTTATTTGATTTGTCAATGTTGATTCGCAATTGCAGCTAAGTACCGCATCATATCTGTGTTTTATTTAAACTTCCGTAAGATTTACTTGTCGACAGGTTAGTGAACGAATCACTGTGCTTTGGTTAGTACGTTTTTTTCCTGTATTTCATTTTCCTTTGCCAGATTTTGCTGTTCTTCTTAAAGTTGATAATTTTGATCTATTTAGACTTTTTTGAGATTTATGACAATTTTTTTCATGTGGAGGTTGATTTATTCAATTTAGCACAATTTTCTGAGAAATTAATTTTCTAGCTGTTTTCTCTTTCAGAACTTTGAGAAATTTCGAGCAATTGAACAATTTATGGATCAGTATCCAAGATAGCTATTTCTTTTTGGTTGAAGTCTTAATCCCCATATTTGTTTTTTTTATTTGACAAGTGAAACAAAAAACCGCTTCGCCTCTGGGTTTGGGTTAAATTTGAATACGGTTTGTTTGCCGACGTGTTGGTGAGGGAAATTTTACTCTCGGCTTTGGTTAGTGATGTTTCTTCCTTTTATTGCACTAGCCATCGGCGTAGTGTATTATTATTATCTTTCTTTTTTCTATGGCCTAAATCGCAAATAAGAGTGTTCATTAAAATTTCTCTTCTTCACTGTAGTATTGGAAATTGCATGTCATCTGTTCTCTGCTTTATTTGTGGCTAGTGTTTTGTACCTATTAAGCGTCCGTGGTTGAGTGGTTAGTTTGTGAGAATCTTATTCTGTAGGTCGGAGGTTCGAGTCACAGACTTAGCCGAATTTTACTAATTCGAAGCTTATTTCTAATTTTTCTAATTGCCCTTTAGCTACTTTTTGTCGTGTTCTCGCTGGTGTTTGCGAAGCGAAGCTTCATCTCTATGTATTATTTCTCGCTGGTGTTTGCGAAGCGAAGCTTCATCTCTATGTATTATTTCCCATCACTAGATTATTTTGTACTTTTTAATGTTGATTATTTTGCTCGCTTTGTCTTATTTACTTTTTTTTCAGCTAGAGTTTTTTCATATCAAGATTGATTTTTCCAATCTGGGACAATTATTCTGAATTCTGTGTTTTTGTTCTTTGACCCTTCGAACTTTCTTGCGACCAGATTGTAGTGAGTTCGTTATGTATCATATCTGTTATCCATGAAATATAAGCTTCTGATCAGTTCAGTCTCTGAGTTGCTAGGAAAACATGTCAGATCTGATTTGCTCTCACTGTTAAACATCCTTACTTTACATATTTTTTTCTAGTTTTCTCTAGATTGGAAGTTTTTTCTGGCTGTTTTTTGGTGAAACCATTTGCATAATTTTTTGCGCTGCTTGGATTCTTTGTCAAATATAACTTCACAAGGGATAGTTTTTTTCCAGTTTTTTTTGTTCCATTGGTATCAGGAACCAATGGTTCTTTTTGACCGTTTTTTTTAATAAATAAAAGCCCCTGATAAAGACCTGATTGGTTCACCGCCATAATATGGAGCTAACAAATATATACCCTGTAGCTGTAGGACAGAATTGTAATGCAACATGCATAAAACAGAACATTTTGGACCAACCGAGAAAAGCTGGGATAAATAAGAACTTGTTCCTCACATTAAAATACAATACTAGCAACAGCACCAAGATAATTTCAACCTTATCATAATTGGATTTTGAAACGGGACAAAGTCGGGAGTACTCCGACTGATTTTCATCCTGTCCTAAGTAGTTTTCTCGGAATGTTTTTAAATAAAGTCATTTCAGTTTTCCAACATATAGACACTTAGACCATGTATTATCGTTTGTGTATCATCATGCCAATACAACGAAAATCCCATTTAACAATTTGTTGACCCGACAAGAAAATAGTTTTCATTTTTGAAAATCAGTCTATCAATAAAAAACTTTAACTAATTCAACAAGCAGTACTGTACCTCTAACCACTTTCTTTGACCATACACTTATTATCAGGGCTAAATGCTGAATAATAATATATGTCCAAATCAGGTTGAACTTCGATTAAAATATGAAAGAAGTGCATATGTCTTCAAATCCCTTTGACAATCAAATTTAGCAGTATTCGACAGCAATTTCCGGCCTCTTTTATTTAAGTCCATTCAGCCACGAGGAAAAGACCAACACTTGAAGCAGATTTCAAAGTTTTTTTTCTTGTTTCATTGGAGTTCGAACTGGGGCAGAGTTGTTAGGACTCACAACTTACTTTCATCCTGTTCATGCACTCATTCATTCTGGCGACCAGCCTCCTTGCATGCGTGCCACTTAGCGTGCGGCTATTTTTAGATAGTAATTCGCTACCCCCAATTCATTCTCAATAGGTGAGTATTTCCTATTTTAAAAAAAAACATGTTAATCATATTATTTTATTGTCAAAGCAATAATTAACTTAAATCCCACCACAATCTGTCAACCTACAACCAACCAACAAAACAATCTTTGTTAAATACCAGCTACCGTCCAACAATTAAATAACATATCTAAAACAAGCCAACCACAAGGCCAGCCAATCATCATCAGAGTTATACTTAACTTTCATCGTAAAAATAATAATTGACTTCTTCTGTGTCCATTTCGATTAAAGATTGACAAACTGCGTAATGCATTTGGAATTGGTCTTCAAATCCTTACTCTGAGAAACAAAAATAGTCATCTATTCCTGCATATTTTTCCGACTGGCCCGGTTTTTTCTGTGCAGTGCACTGCTCATCTTGGACGACGTTGTTTCTCGGTTGATGCCTGTTGCGTCACAGACTGTCGGGAGCCACTCCGCTGCCACGATTTGATTTAAAAAGAGCGCGGTTTTTCCTTATCTTCCTATTGAGCGCAATAACCGTACCGTCTTTTTCTGCTGGCGCCGGAGTGGACCTAAAAAATAATGTCGTAGTGATTAAGATTAAAAATAGATCTATCTTTCTTGTGAATTTACTGTAAAGGGAGAGCTTAGCGTTCATTTTCTTGGAGCAAAAAACGTATCAGTGATATGTATAATTTCCCCAAAAACTAGTTTGACTCGTAGGGATCTTAAACCTTTTGTAGCCGGTACAGTATCCAGCGGTGCTATATTGGGGCACTCCTTTTGAGACGAGCCATCTTGATATGATAGCCGCCCCATCTTTTGTTTGAGGTTCCGGCAGAAAGATAGGCATGTAAAACATGTCTGTGGTCTCACCACGCACGCAGGTCACTGCACACTTTGGCGGCTTTTGGCTGTCCCATCACGCCCATGCTCACGTTCACAGTGTCACCAATTGGTCTCCAGGAAATCGAATCCTGGATTACATTTGTTCGACTTGGCTTGAATGACAATGCTTGACTGACATACAGCCCAAGTATGACTAATTTTGAGGCTAAATTAAACATTTTCTATAGTAAATCATAGATAAAAAATTACCAGAATTGATTTGATAAATAACAGCTGAAAAAAATTACGAAGTTAATGTCTTGATTTTTTTGCGCTCATTTTTGTTTGAGTTAGCCATGGGTCTGCAGAAGTTTGCCAGAAGTTTCCATCTTCAAATGCATTCATTGCCATGCCAAGATCGGGCACTCTGTTTGTGCTCTGGGTTCCACGAAAATTGTTCCTGGAACCAACTTAATTTGCACAGAAAGGCAGATAAATTCAGAAAATCTTTGAAGTCCAAAATCTAATGGGACTGAGCATGCTTACCCTTGCGCTAAGCAAGGGTATTGCAATCAGGCACTAGACTTTTTCCGTGAATAACCTTGTTCGCAGGACTCATCGACTCCTGGTGCTTCCTTTGCCAGACTGTGTTGCTTTTCAAAGTTTCCAAGTTCTCGTCGGTGGCAAATATCAACATTCGGTCTTTGTTACCTGATTCCGAATCAAAAGGAGAAAACTGGTCTTTAATTGAGTGGGGTGCGTAATCAGTTAATCGTTTTCGCTGAACAGTTCTGGCGATGACTTGTACTCAGGCAAGTTAACAACTGTTTCGACTCTAATATCCCAGCGTTTTCCATGTAAATGATCTGGTAGGCTTCAAAATTTGTTTTTTTCTTTCTGTTTGGTTGATAGCACGTGACCCTGAGCTTTTACAGTTTTATAACAGACCAAAAAAAATTTTTTATCCATTGCAGATAATTTTCTGTTTTCCTCGCTCATTTATGACAAAAGTTAAAGGCATAATGTTGTCAGTAAGTGTTATAATTTGCAAGATAAAACTGCACTGATTGAATCGAAACAAAGGTGACATTTAATTACTCTTATCTGTACTGTTAATTCATTTCAAATTATTGTTCAATTCAAAACCGGTGCTAAGCAGAGTTTTTTTTCCACAACCACCGCAAAACATTTTGCTCAATTCGCATTTCTTAAT